CAAAAAAAAAAGAAGTAGAAACAAACCTTGTTTCTTAGTTCTAGTTCTACTGACTGTATAACACTTCATTGCATGCAGACGACCTAGAACACTTTCCCTATAAAGTTAATATAAAGAAGATCCTTTAGTTGAATAATATAAAATTGAGATGCTTTCTACCTGTATTGGCAAACTATCTTTTTGCTGGCATTTAGTGATATAATATAATGTTTTGTCGTTTTTCTGTAGCGAACTAGTTATCTTATCGATATTGTCTTCTACCTTCCACTAGTCAGTGTTAGGCATGAACTCCATAAATATTTTTCTTCGTATTATGCACTTTGATTGGTTGTAGCCTTGTATTGTCTATAAAACATTTGCATTCAGTCTGCAACCTTATACACCTTTTTGCCCTATACCAAGCTGCGTTATCTTTTAGGCCTTTGGGCTTCCCATGGTCATAGGGAATGCCATTAGTTTTATCGACCAGAGATCTCACCAAGCATATAAAGATTGTTTTAGGTAGCGTACGAAAATTGTAACATCATCATACTAATATTTAAGGGATCTCTATACGTAGCAACCATTGTTGTCTGATTAGACATATTTGTTCAGGATATCGAAGAGAATTTCTTAGAACAGGATGTAGATATTTTATGAACTTAAGACCAAATAGTATTTCATCTTACCAAGGCATTTTTGCTATAAATGGTATAAAGGAGCGTTAATAAGGATAAAGTTAGAGTTTGTTTCAACTCTGATTGAGTACAGTAGTGCACATCTTTGCTTTTTACCTGTTGATTGGTTGAGAGTGAAAGAATCGTCCAGAATTCACTCCTCCAAAAGGCAGGAAATCTCCTGTAATCAAAAGGAATAGTGGGATGATTTAAGCAGCAAATACTGCAGTTATACTAACTAGCAAAGGTTATTATATAAAGAATCACATCATGTTTTCCTTGTAAAAGCAACTTCCATTTCTTGCTTGAAAAATGCCGATTTTTCCACTGAGGGACTGGCACGTGGGACCCACCATCTTGAATTGCTAGATAACCTCGCTTAAAATTTTTGAAGCAGAACCATATTTGCAGTACCATGTTTTGTAGTACAACCAATTATCACTACTTGCCTTTGAAGATATTATTTGGCAGAAAAACTTTGGTGACAAATGGAGGCCACTTGACCCTTCTTTTTGAGCTAGAAACCTATTTGTTAATCTAAAGTGCACTTGATTATTTTTATCCTTGTTCAGATTCATACATTCCCTTGTGATCTGAAGATAAGGGAACTCCTCAGTAGCAGCCTTAGATTTCAAAAACATGGGACCATCCCACATTCAAAAAGCCATGAAAGCTATCCATATAGACTTCCATCCCACTTGTCAACTCCCTTTCAATCACAAAAAAAAAAAAAAAAAAAAAAAAAAAAATAATGCAGTCAAATTCCCCTTTGCCCATCACTCGTCATCTCAAAAGCATATTTTTCAAGGCGTGTTTAAGCCACACGCCTCTCTAGATTCTTCAAATCATGCAATCAAACCTCACCCACTCTTTAAAAAAAAAAAAAAAAAAAAAAAAAAAAAACAAGAAGAAAATCATCACCCAAATAATGCAGTCAAATTCCCCTTTGCCCATCACTCGTCATCTCAAAAGCATATTTTTCAAGGCGTGTTTAAGCCACACGCCTCTCTAGATTCTTCAAATCATGCAATCAAACCTCACCCACTCTTTTTACCAAGCTAATCAAGCTTTGCATATATACATGTTTCCATGTTTCTTTCTTTCTATAAGAGTTGGGTGCTGAGAACATTTGTACTACAACGCTTCTTTAATACTCTTCTGAAGTGCAAAGTGATTCTGTGACTTTGAGATACCAACCAATTTGGTTCCTGTCATTTCCCCCCTTTCCAACCGGTTAATTCTGTAAGTAATTCTTCTCTAAGGAAAATCGAATTTGTTTGTATGCAGATGTACATATGCCTAACAAGTTCAAATTTTCATGACCAAATTGAGATTCTTATGTGATGTTTGTTAATTTATCATATCCCAATGTTCTTATTCTTGGATGCTCTGTTTTGAAATTCGATTCCAGTAAAGATATACCTATTTCAATTCAATAAGAATGGCCCTTTTAAGTTTGTGAGATACTCTTCTTAATTCAGATAATGGCAAGAAAAGCCATGACCATCCAAATGGAAGAGCAAAGAGAAACCAGGCAAGAAATCGAGAGAGGCAATGACATGGAAGAAGGAGAGGCTACGGAGAATCTGAAGGAGGATTTGAAGGCAATTCCATCGTGGAAGAGTCAGATAAGCTTTCGAGGTCTCGTTGCGAGCCTCTTCATTGGAGTAATGTACAGTGTGATTGTGATGAAGCTCAATTTGACTACAGGGCTCGTGCCGACCCTCAATGTCTCTGCTGCTCTCCTTGCCTTTGTCCTCCTTAGATCTTGGACTAAGTTGCTTCACAAGGCTGGGATCATTTCCAAGCCTTTTACTAAGCAAGAGAACACTGTAGTTCAAACTTGTGCAGTTGCCTGCTATAGCATCACAATTGGAGGTATGAAATGATTCAATCTGATCAAAGTTACATGAAAAGTTTTGATTTATACGTTTTTTTTAATGCAGGTGGATTTGGGTCTTATTTATTGGGGCTGAACAAGAAAACTTATGAGTTAGCAGGGGCAGATACAGAAGGAAATACTGCAGGGAGTTACAAGGAGCCTGGAGTTGGTTGGATGACCGGATTCCTCTTTGTTACTAGTTTTGTTGGGCTTTTTGCTTTGGTTCCTCTCAGAAAGGTATTTGCTTTTGTTCTTTCTGCTGATTACATTTTGATTCTTTTATTTTTGCTTTTCAATTCAATATTAGTATTGGAACTTCTCCAGGGCAAATAGAATTTTATTGTAATTATATTTAAAGATTTGTATCATCATCCTAATTTACGAGGTTAATAGTTTATTAGCACCAAAAGAAAAGGTAAAAAGAAAGCAGAAAAGAAAAGGAGGACAAGTGTGCTGATTGATTTATCCTATTTGTCAAATTTACAACCCTTTTGGGATGAGTTGCTATATGACATGCAAATAGAAATTTTCTCTGCTTTTAACTAGACATGAAATATTTTACTTGAGAAGGCATTAGAAGAAAGCAACAAACACATTGATGTTGAGAAACAAAGTTGGGCATAGTAGAAAGTTTATCTTACTGATAACATTTGCTTTCACAATTAGGATCTGCTATTTTTTATGAGTTACATGAGAATGTATTCATGCTTATAGATTTACAACGTATTTAGTAAGAAGCATATCAATCTTACAAATTTTTCTGTAGAATTTCCCCTAAATCCCAGTGAATTCTTCAGATCATGATAGTAGACTACAAGTTAACTTATCCAAGTGGCACTGCAACTGCTGTTCTTATTAATGGGTTTCACACTACGAAGGGAGACAAAATGGCCAAGTATTTCTCAACTTTATTTTCTTCCTTATCTACCAGAATTCATATATGGTACTATATCTGTAATGTTCATATCTCTGCTCAGGAAACAGGTCCATGGGTTCGCAAAGTACTTCGTATTCAGCTTTCTTTGGAGCTTTTTTCAGTGGTTTTTCTCTGGAGGCCAAACTTGTGGATTCTCACAGTTTCCAACATTTGGTCTACAGGCTTATAAAGAAACGTATTTCTCTTTCACAATCTCCTTTGCCTTTTGCATTTGGGATAAATTTCACAAAAGCCTCATTAAGTTTGGTCAATTTTGATATAACCCCTGAATTTAAAAAATCTCACTTGATCCCAATTAAGTTTTGTCAGATAAGCCCTGTAACTAACACTGTTACATCTGACTGCCAACGTAAAAATCATGTCTGTCGTAATTACTAAAATATTGCTGATGGAAAAATCCTTTCATGTCCCTTTTCACAATTAGGGTCTATTTCATGTAGCCTCCCTGTACTATGCCCAAATTTGAGATAGCCCCCCTCTAACCCTAGCCCTTAATGCCTGGCAATTATAGTGTTTATTTGGAAAGGGTATTTTAGTCTGTTTACCATTTCATCAAACACTGTTAAACACCGTTAGTGGGGTAGTTCAAGAAATTGGAAAGATTTAGGGAGTTTTCTGGAACACCTGAAACATAATGAGGCTTAACTGACATTTTAAAGGTTTAGGGAGGTTATCTGAAAATGAGCCAAATTCAAGGGTAGTTTTGTGGGAATTTACCCTATATTTTTTCTTGGTTTATTACAAACTAATTTAGTTTGCCTTGAAAACTTTTCCATTGGCAGATTTTTCTTTGATTTTAGCTTGACATATGTGGGAGCTGGTATGATCTGCTCCCATCTTGTGAATATCTCTCTAATTCTTGGAGCAGTACTTTCATGCGGAGTAATGTGGCCATTGATTAGAGAACAGAAAGGGGATTGGTATCCTTCTACAATTTCAGAGAGCAACATGAGAAGCCTGCAAGGTTACAAAGTAAGTGGCTAATTTGAATCCTCCCTCTTGTTCCTCAAGAACTGTGCTGCAACTCCATTCTTCTTTTTATTCCAATTGCAGGTTTTTCTCTCCATTGCTTTGATCATGGGAGATGGTTTGTACAATTTTCTCAAAATTACTGCCATAACAGCAAGAAACATGCATTTGAGGTTCATCAATAGAAACCTTAAATCAGGTAAGGAATAATATCTTCAGACCAACAAATAGTTTCCCAAAAAAAACAATGAAATTACAAATTTGAGCCATCCGAAAATCCCTTCATCACAATTTTTTGGGGGTTTACTATATGAATCCTACTATTTCATTTAGTTATGTTGAGAACTCTCTCTTCCGTATCCTTCTTAATAGCTTCTAACCACATGCTCTTACGCCTACCTCTGGTCCTCCTTTTTCTGAATATACAAGCTGAAAATACAAGAAAGAATTTTTTTATCTATTCACATTGATTGTGAAGTTGAGGATAAAATGTTATACTTGTGCACTCCGTGGAATATCTGTAAAAGGAAAACTCCAAGAAAACATATGATAAAGAAAGTCCTAATAAAGAAGACACGATATTTAACTAATACTTAGAATCTGAACTCTTTCATTAAAGGCAACAACTCATAGAATATCTTCCAATGTTGTCTAGCTTGATAAATGAAATGCTCATCGATGATTCTCTCTCTTGCTCTACCAGATAATAACGGTATGGTACTTGACGATCTTCAACGCAATGAAGCATTCATGAGAGAAACCATACCCACATGGCTAGCATGCACTGGTTATCTTCTCTTTATAACAATATCCATCATTTCCATCCCCCTTATGTTCCCCGAGGTTAAATGGTACTATGTTGTCACTGCCTACATCCTCGCCCCTGCTTTAGGCTTCTGCAACGCCTACGGCGCTGGCCTGACCGACATAAATATGGCTTACAACTATGGGAAAATAGCACTCTTCATAATTTCCGCTTGGGCAGGAAAAGACTCTGGAATAGTCGCCGGCATGGTTGGCTGTGGTGTCATAAAATCCGTGGTCTCAATCTCTGCTGATCTAATGCATGATTTCAAGACTGCACATCTGACACTAACATCACCGCGATCAATGCTTATAAGTCAAGCCATTGGTACTGCAATGGGCTGTGTTATTGCCCCTCTATCTTTCTTTCTCTTTTACAAGGCTTTTGATATTGGAAATCCTGATGGGAGCTTTAAGGCTCCTTATGCATTAATTTATAGAAACATGGCGATTCTTGGAGTCGAGGGATTTTCGGCGCTCCCTCACCATTGCCTTCAGCTCTGTTATATTTTCTTCGCTTTTGCATTCGTGGTGAATATACTGAGGGACGTGTTTCCAGTAAAATATGGGAAGTGGGTTCCTCTGCCAATGTGCATCGCTGTGCCATTTTTGGTTGGGGCAAATTTTGCGATTGATATGTTTGTGGGGAGTTTGATTGTGTTTGGATGGCACAAGATTAATAGCAAGAAGGCGAGTTTGCTGATACCTGCAGTTGCTTCAGGTTTGATATGTGGAGATGGACTCTGGATCTTACCGTCTTCTTTGCTCGCTCTAGCTAAGGTTAATCCCCCCATTTGTATGAAATTTGTAAAACCTTCAGTAGAGTAGGAAGTACGTAGAAGAGAAACGAAGCTTTAGTTTAGGATTTTTTACGATGCCAGAGAAATATATAAATTACGTAAGCCAGAACATTGTGAGAGAATGTGAGCTGCTCGTGTTGTATTCAAGAGTACTTTATGCATGCAATCTGAAGTAGATTGTTCAAATATTTCTTGATGGATTTTTTTCAAGGAAATAGACAGGCTCTGGTAATTTTCAATCAATGTGCCTATAGAGCTTGTGAGGAGCAGTATATAAACTTATTTATATCTCATATTGGTTATTGAAGTATACTGTGAACATGGGGACGTGGACCATGAACGCGGACATGGGGACGTGGGCTATGAACGCGGAAATAAGCACAGCGTGGGGGCCACACAACCCATCCATGTATGTTTTTACCATGTAAAAGGATGGAAAGTGTAAAAAAGTGGGTCCCAATGTCAGCTTTCATCACTTTCAATTGTTTGTTTGTAGTTGTGAAAATAGTGTAAAGTGATTTCATATGCTGATGTGGCTTGTAAAGTGGTTTCATAAAAAAAAGACATGATTTTAGGAGAAAGTTGACATTGAAGTTAGGAAAAAATAATAAAAAATAATTCCAACCAATATGATCATTTGAGTAGGGACCACTTTTTACACTTTCCAAACAAACAATAAAAGTTATATTTGCAAACCAAACAAGCAATTTATGATTCCAATGGAATCAAAAACAAACAAAGAAAAATATAAAAGTAAAATTGATGAGGTGGACAACAACTTTCCAAGTTGTGTCATAAATACACAATTTTACCAACAACAACCAAACAGCCCCTAAAAGAGGAAACAAGTTGTTTACGTGGGATTTGGTCACACCCAATCACGCGTTAATATGCCTTCCTATAAATATATGTTCTCTGCTAGGGTTTTCGGTAGTGGGGAAAAAGCTGCGGGAAAAAAAAAAGGCAGTCGGGCTTACTCGGCTGCGGGGAAAAACACAGAAGGAGAAAAGGGATTTAGGCGGCTGTTTTTTGAGAGAAAAATAGTGAGATTTTGAGGAGAGAAAAAGAGGGATTTATAAAAGAGAGGTCAATTTCTTTTGGGTAAAAATTAGATTTTTTTTTTAGACGAGCTTGTGGATTGTACAAGTCGTCGGTGTTCTTCTCATAGTAGAATCTCCCCTCACCCCTCCCGTGGACGTAGGTAAGTTTGCCGAACCATGTAAATCTCGTGTATTTATTATTTTCTGGTTGTTGGCTATTGCTTGTAAGTTCCCTCAATATTCGGTCTTAGAGCTGATGAGAGGAAGAGTGTATATTTCACTTTGATGAAATATATCACTTTCGATTCTTGTTTCCTTTGAGAAATAAGAATTTCACTATCTATTCTAGTTTCCTTCGAGAAACAAGAATATAGAGGTTGATTTCCTTTGAGAAATAAGAATTTCACTATCTATTCTAGTTTCCTTCGAGAAACAAGAATATAGAGGTTGACTTGTGCTTTTGGGACAACAAAAGCCAGTGCTATCTCTCAGGTGATATCGCTTCCGCGACGGTGGGCGTGACTCTACGCCCAACATATACCATAGTTCAGATGAAACTATAAGCTAGAATAAATTACTAACTGAAAATATATTTTAAGGAAAGGTTGTTATCCATGAACATGCTTCACACCAAAGATAATCTTATAAGGAAAGGTTGACTTGGTGACTCAACATGCATTTTATGTGGTATACATCCTGAAACCAGTGATCATTTATTCTTCTCATGCACTCTCACCAAATTAGTGTGGAATATTTCAATGACTATTATCCACCTTTCCTGTGGCCAACATCACTATATGATCTTTTCATAGCTGTTGAATCTCTACATAAAACTGATGGGATTATATGGCGATCTGTTTTCTCTACAGTATGCTGGTTCTTATGTTGAATCTCTACATAAAACTGATGGGATTATATGGCGATCTGTTTTCTCTACAGTATGCTGGTTCTTATGGACATCAAGAAATAAATATATTTTTGGGCGATCTGTTTTCTCTACAGTATGCTGGTTCTTATGGACATCAAGAAATAAATATATTTTTGATAAGATACCCTTCTCTACTACAGATATCATTAACTCAGTCATTTCTGGTTTGTATGATTGGTCAGGTTCTGGCAGTGGGAAGGCTGCTTTTAAGCTAGCAGAGGCTCTGGAAGATAAGCCTATTTCGAGGTGCAATAGTGTCTAATTAAGCTTTATCAGTTTGTTTCAGCTGTTGACTGTATAGAACATCTCTTTCGTAATATGATAGTTTACTTTAATTAGTCTATAAAAAGTTTAATTTCTCTTTACTATATGTATGGCTGGTTTTGGTTCTTTCTTATATCTATGTCAACGGTGAATGACGGCATGACCCTCTCTTCACCTTCATGGATGTTTGAAAAAAGAAGGTCATACATCCCTAGTTAGAGAAATTATTTTTTCTATCTACTAATCCATATGGATACAGATCGTATCCTACTTTTGTGAAGATACTTTTGCTTTTAATGAACAAGGTATATCCCTTGTTTTTCTCTAAAAAAAAAATTACTAACTGAAAAGATCGATTATAATCCATATTCAACTAGACCTGCAAAGATGTGAACATCAAATTACTGAAATGTACAATGAATAAACAATAATGCAGATTCATGTTCAAACAGTAAAAAATCAGCATATATCCGCATGACAAAAACAAAAGGAAACTTTATTAATTGAAGAAATAAACAACTCCTTACATAGTCATAGTACACATTACATCTATAAACATTTGCAATAATCAAAATAACATCTCAGAATCATAAAACTTGCGGATTCTCTTACTCCCCCAAAACCCCTTTCAAATAACAAACAGCTACCAAGACTGTAACCTTCAGGTTTCACTCTATAACTTTTGCCATCCAAATATTGCTCCAAAGTCCAAAGTCCAATCTCTCATCTCTGAACAATCTCTTGAACACCATCATCACCTTTTTGAGTTCACAGCTGCAAACAAGACGGTCTTGGCATCGATGAGAAAGAACTCTTTCAAGAACGTGCAGTTTGCCAACATCAAAGCCTAGCTGCTGGGAATAAGTCATGTAAATGTAAATTTATATGAATGAAGTCATGCAGCTATGACCTTAGTGGTTTCAGAGAAAGTATCCGGTGGGGATGACCCATGACACCAATCGTTGGATATAGATACGAATCTCGAAATCTAACAATCCAACAGTTGACATCAATTGGGTGCACATTTATCTCCTATCAAGATTTTAGCACCGTTGCAGGGGAAAGTGCTTGTAATTAGAATTTCTCTATTTTGGTTCTTTGATTTGTGTGTTTAAGTATGATGGAACAACTTTGAAGGAGAAAGTTGAAGATTAGAGAGCAAATTTGCTTGAAAAAGTAAGTTCTCTTTCTTGTATTTTTAATTCCAACTTCAAATTAGGCTTTTTAAATTATAGACAATCAAGAGCTAATAAAAATAAAAATAAAAATAAAAAAATTGTCGACCCTAATAAAATTCATCCTCCACTTAAATAACTACTACAAGATAATAAATCCAAACAATAGCTTTTTCTCTCACATTTGTTTGTTTGTTTGTTGACCTAATTAAAAGAATATTTTCCTTTTTGCAACCTTTATAGTTGCTTTTAATACCTAAGGTTGCATTGCATATAGTTAGTAGTAATTCACCCAAGTGATTTGAGCATCTTGATTTGATACACACTTAAAAATACTCTTAAGGGCAATATCCCCCTAATCAAAATAAGGTGAGAGATTTTATCATCCTTTCTTTTAGCCCACAAATCACTAATTTCTTATTATAGAAACCCAAACCTTTTAAAACTCATTAGACATTGGCCTCTAAGAATTCGAGCTTATTACGGAGTAAGAAATCCTTAAGTGAGCCGGAAGAAATTCTTAAGTGAGCCGGTTCAAGTTTACTTGAATCTGTTGGTGTTTAAGGCAAAATTTAGGGATTGCGTAAAGCGCTCAGCAAGAAAAGATGTACTTAATTGGTCTTTGGCCTCCTTCTAGTACTATCCTTACCTGGCTAACTGACCGAGAAAACTCCAATATTTTCACTCAATGATTTTTTGGTTAGAAGCTGATCTAGTTGAGTCTAAACGTAACTCTATAAATAAGAGTGATTGTTTTAAAGTGGTTGCTTTTGATTTGTTTTAGTTAGGTTTTTCTTTTATCCTTCTTTTCTTCTCTCATTAATCGTTTAGGTCTTTTTAAAAAAAGCTAACTTTTATTTTTTTTTAGAATGTTTTCCCTTATTCCCTTTTTAGTTAGAAAAAGGAAAAAAAATGAAAAATCCAAAAATAATTTATTTTGATGTATACAAGTTTGGAATATGGATAATAGCAATCGATTAATCCATGTTGAACCAAATCTTAAATCACACATTATTTAAGACATGTATTATCTCTGAAGAAGAAAATGAGTTAGACCCGAGTTTTGAGGAACTCTTTAGTGAGGAGCTAAAATACTAGAGGAAATAGAATCAGAACAAAAGAACCTAGTTAGATATAAGTTTCTCTGATCTTAGCTTTGAAGAACTTTTTACTGACGAGCTTAGGTTCCTCGAAAATATAGAATAACTGAATTATCATTCCTCAATCATGAATATTAGATTTAAGGATATTTTTAAAGAAGAACCGGTTGTGTTAGGATAAACTTTTATTAATGAGGAGTATAAGTTCAAATCTAAGACTTATTTTTTGTCTGATCAACATCAAAAATTAAAAATGCATGACCTTTTTCTTACCTACCTTTAAATACTGCAAAAAATATTAAAAATTTTGAAGTGTATAGAATTTAAGCACATTTTTGAGTTTATCATTTTAGACTTCTTTAAAATCTAGGGTAGAATTTTTAACAATAAGATAGGATTTGATGTAGAGTATGAGTTTTTTATTTTTAATCTTTTATTCTATATCTTTACTTTTTATCTCATAGTAATAAAAATAATACAAAGAATTTATTCTTCTCTCATTTGAGAGTTTCTTGTTCTTTTCTAAATAAAAAAAAGATATGATAAAAAAGAAAATAATAATAACAAAAAAATAAAAAACTAAAAAAGAAGAAAATTTTAACTTCATCCTCCTCCATATATCAAAGGTAATTATAGTTGTCATAAATCAACCCAATAAATATAAGTACTTCATTTCTTATTTGTTTTACTTTATGCATCATAGAGTTTACATTGAGGACAATAAAAAATTTAGGTG